GGGGGGGTCGGATAGTCACACATGTACAATCTTTGGTTCTGTCCTTGAGTACCAGTACACAAGAACTGATACAAAAGATCCAGCAATATACAACAGCTTAACATAGGCTCGTAAAGAGCGGGGCTTTATGCCCAGGGGGACTCCCTTACATTGTATGTTCTCAGTTCTACGTCTCCCTCCATTAGCGCCACTGGACCCTTGGGCTATGGAGCACACCCCTGCACATATTATGAATTCTCCCTTCCTTCTCCCCCCTTTCAGAAGAGATAGTCCTGTCCAAGCAAAATTGAATTCATTTTATGTCAGGGCGGAACTGCTGTTGATGCAGTTGAGGCAGCTGTCCGCAGTCTAGAGGATGACCCAACTTTTGATGCAGGCCATGGTTCAGTTCTTACAGAGGAGTTGACTGTTGAAGTTGATGCAATGATCATGGACGGGAACACTTTAGAATCAGGTACAAAGCTACTCCATTCTCTAGCCTTAATTTTGAGCAACTTATGGGAGGTTGAAGTTGATGTTGAATCTTTATTGCACACTCCCAAAAATAGGTTTTTCAGTGGAAGACACGATATAAATAAAATAAAAATACAATAAAAAATGCAATAAAAATACAATGAATTAAAAAGTGTAACACTACTCTATGTGCAGTGGTGAAATGGCTAAGTGGGTCTGACTCTAGATTGAGTGGTCCAGGATTGCGCCTGATAGCTGAGTTCCTTGTGTGCTGTTCTTGGGCAAGGTACTCTACTGTCATAGTACCTCTCTCCATCAGCAGGTACAAAATGCAGGTTGCAGGTCGCAGGTTTGCATATGTCACAGGAAATAAGAGCTCAACGTATTACCTTCAGAGCTAACTGTAAACAGGTTAACCTGAGTGTTATAGAAGCTAACCTGAGCATTACTCAGGATAACCAGAAACCAGAGATGAGCTGCAAGCTGTGAACTATGACCTGTGTTGGTACCTGCCCCTCTCTTCAACCAGTTGTAAAAAAAAAAAAAGGACCAGCATCTCATTCAGGGGAAATTACAATTCTGCTGCAAAAACCAGAGATAGGTGCTGAACGGATGTTTCAATAGGTTCTTTCCTACCTTTGGAAATGTTGGCTTTCATCATCGTTGTCATCATCATCATCAGTTCTTGAGGCGCTAGTAGGCGCATTAGGCTGTTGTTGTCTTTGGAATCATCTATTACTGACTGCTTTAATATTCATATTTCTTGTCAAATGCTTCACAAAATCAATAATCATTTGAACATTTTATTTATTAGTAGATATACTGGAATTAATACTGACAACAGTTACCATCATCATGCACATGTTGGTAATGTAACCAATAGCATTTTAGCTAATCTTGCCTTAAGATTATTAAACTGTAAAAATCATGGTCTATTTTCCTATTCTTTCATATTTAGGTGCTGTGGCAGCAGTCACAGGAATAGCAAATCCTGTGTCTTTAGCACGTCATGTAATGCAAGACACGCCCCACTGTTTCTTGGCTGGAAATGGTGCTTTAAAGTATGCTAATAAAATAGGTTTTCCAATTTTAAGCAATCCTCTTGAACTGATCAGTGCTGAATCAAGACTTCAATTAGAAGGCCATAAGAATTTTAATGAAGCTGTTTTGAGTGGTTATAATACCGAAGGAGGGCACACTTCATTCCTTGCTAATCCTGGACATGACACTGTTGGTGCAGTGGCAATGGATTCTTTGGGTCACTTAGCTTGTGCAACATCCACAGGTTAGCTTTGTTTATAGTTACAATTACAAGTACATTTTAAACCTTTGTACAATGGCCCAGTTGAACCTCTCCACAGCAGTCACCTTGGGGACAAACGAAAGTGGCCATTGAAGAGAGGTGGCTGTTGTAGGGAGGTAAGGGTATAATATGAGACATGTCATTTTTCGGGAAGTGTAACATTGCTGCATATAAGTATGTAACACAATCAAAACAATTTATATCAATAAAAAAGATTCAAACCAAACAGAAATAGAGACCACAGATGCACTGTACCGCTCAAGTCTCATGACCTTTTTTAACAAAATGGATTTGATATACACCATTCATCAGTTGTTGGCTGTTGGCTGTTGTCGAGAGGTTATTTTGGCAGCTAGGATGTGTTTTAGTGGCCATTACCGTTGTGGAGAGTTGGCCATTGTGGAGAGTTGGCCATTGTAGAGAGGTTAAAATAAGAGTAAGTGTGTGGACTGTCCGCTGGTACAATAAAAGGGGATATTGTGGAGAGGTGGCCATTAAAAAAGGTTCCACTGTAATGCTATATGATCACAAGCCTGCTGATGTAGTGAAAGCCCACCACAGTGGCCCAGGTTCAAATCGCAGACCTGGCATCATATGTGGGTTTCATTTGTTGTTTGTTGTTGTCTTGCACTGATAGTTTTTGTCTGGGTTCTCCAAGCAAGTTCCTTCCTCCAAAACAAACCATCCAAGTTTTCACTGGATCCAGTAACAAGTTGTTGAGAATTCTTCCTTTTTTCGTGAGAAATAAAATTGTGTTTTCTACCATTTTTAGTGCAAAATGCTAAACAAGCAATTGACCTACAATCACCCAAAATTAAATTGTTATTGAATCTCAAGAATCACCTGCTGTAATCATGCCATTACATTGACAACAAACAATTAAACAAGAAATTTATAACTGAATACTAATCTTCAGGTGGAATTTCGCTGAAGATGGCTGGCCGTGTTGGTGACAGTCCACTGATTGGCTGTGGAGGTTATGCGAACAAGGAAGGTGCAGTGTCAACAACAGGGCATGGAGAATCAATCATGAAAATGATGCTGGCCAGAGAAGTGGTGCACAACATTGAAGGAAGTCATCCTCCTGGCCATGCTTGTGATAAAGCACTTCAAAGAATGTTTGAGGGAGTAAGTGGCCAGGGGGGAACAATAGCAATCGATAGACATGGTCAGGTGGGGAGGGGTTTTACTACTAAGCGTATGCCATGGGCAACTATCAAAGAAGGTGTTCTTAAGTATGGAATTGAACGAAATGAGGAAATTGTGAACTAAAGACAAGTTAAAAAAAATATTGATAATTTTTTTCAGACAGTTCTGAGTATTAATTTTATTGACATAATATTTAGGAAGGTATCCCATCATTTGTGCTTTTCTTTATAATTTCTCATTGCCAATCTACTTAACAATGTTTTAACACTGTAAGGAAAAATTCAACTTCACTTCAATCCTCTTCATGTCCTTGGGCACATAAGGCCAAGAGAGAAATTAAGCTAGAAAAATTTTGTTTGTAAACAATGACAGGGAAATACCGTCATTTGGCCTTAGAGAAAAATCAATAAAAATTGCAAAACATGTGAATTTCTTGCACAGCCGTATCCTATTGTGTAGCTGCTAAATAATGTTACCAGACCTTTACCTAACATGCCAAAGGTTGTTAGAGTGCCCAACCAGAATGTGCATGGAGTCGTACATTTGAATTTATTCAAAGCTAGGCCTTTTTTCTCTGATTGTCCTATACTCGTCTCGAGCATCATTTCATATTTCTCAGGAAATATTTAGACTATTTATTCAATGTTTTACGGACATTTTAGCAGCAGTAAAGGGTTTAATAATATTTAACCTTAAATTTTCAAGTTAAATTGAAGATTCCATGAGATTCCTCTTGTAAGCATTTCTACATAGTATCAATTCTCTAACTTTTCCTGTCTCTGTTAATATTTATTTATTTTTGATTGGTTGGGGTTTGTATGTTGTAAAATGTATTTGTAACTAATTCTCTGGGTTCTTATATCTATAATTTACAGATTTTTTGAACTACTGGGTTACCTTTGCTTTGAAATAATTTATTTTGTATTATAACTGTTTTAATTTATAAATTGTCTGCTTTACGTCTTAATTTCGAACTTGTAAGCCAAGTACAAGTTCTTGGAAAAAATTGTAGACAAATGCATAGAAAATAAGAAGTGACTGGATGCTTTCTAGCACAAATATATCCCTCAATTTGTCTAGTATCTTAACTGCTGTTCATAAATTGTTCAGAATTCAATTATTTTTAAGGGAAGTATTTGCCAGTATTTAGATTCCCATACAAACACTGTAATTTTGACGCGTGTTGCCAATCGTCAAGATGGCTTCCAAATCTCGATAAAACCTTGACTGAGAATGGCTCAGTCAGTGATTTCAAGTATAATGAAGTTAGTTACTGTTTGAAGTATTAAGTATTTTATATTTGAGAGATATTTTACCAGGTGTTGGTTCAGCTTTGACTAGCATTCCTCTGATTTCTTTATTCGTACATGTTCCCCCAAAATGCGCAGAAAATGTCAATATTCCTTCTTCCCTCTTTTGCTTATTCAGTTCACAGCTTGATCTACTTCGTGCTATGATTTTGATGGTCATGGAACATGAACGGTGATTTTGAAATAAATTTTCAATTTTTATCCCATTGAACTAAATCAGCAAATTGTTGACTAAAGACAAATCAAGAAAGTTAATTTTGGTGGCATTTTAAGAAAGTGTGCCCTTGTTGATAATTTTCTCTATTTTCATCACCAATCTAATCCAATGTAAACACTAAGGAGAAATTTGGCTAGAAAAATATGTAAATCACAACTGGCATCATTTGATCTTGTGAATAATTCTGAGGTGATTTGAAAGAACAATGCCTTTTTCTGGCAAAGGAGCGTCATGCTTTTTGTCGGGGGTAAATTCTGAGGGTAGTCTGTGAACAGGCTCTCTGGTCGAGGATGGGGCAAAGAGAAAGCCGGAAGAAAGAGGACACAAGAGTCTCCCCTCGGCCACTTCACTCTCAGCCAGCGCCTTGTTGGCCGTTCCAGCGGCAGCCAGACCCTTCCAGCCGAGCCTGTTCACAGGTTAATAGGAATGGGGCAGGTAGGGTTAGTTGGGACGT